TTTCAAGGTTCTATGGCCGCAGATGCAAGTAACAGCTTGGAGGGGAATCATGAACTTTGGTTTTGAATCCGACAATGTTTTCGTCCAAGACTGACGCTCAGCGTGCTCAGCGCGTCAAGACTTGCTGTGAGGCGACCATTGGATAGGAAGTGGACCGACCCTCTTGTGTGTCGGTCTAGGCGTGTGCGAGCTGTCAACGATCCTGGCCTCTCGATCAACACCGACACGACTGGGTTCAGCTGCCGCGTTGAGTTGCTGCAATCCAACGTCTGCCCAGGCACCGAAAGCGGACCCACGGTCAGTCAGGATCGGTGTTGCAAGCTCCTCGTCGCTCGCGACCACTCTGTGATGGCGATTGCAGTCAGGAATGTACACGATGGCCGTCGTAAGCCCACACTCGACACGATCGTTTACAATCCGAGACCGACACACAGCACCGCTTGCGTCTGCAGCAACGCTCATGTACTCCAAACAACACAGGTCCACGCCAATACTCAGCATACACGCCAAAACATACTCTCAGCTCCATGGCTAGTCGTGTTTGATCGAGAGCACTACTGGGATTCGGCATCTACCCGTCCCAGCAGTTGTATCGCTCAGACTTACAGTACTCCAGAGAGAAAGATGCAAGCATGCGCTGTTCTGAACTACATCACTACAGCCGGTGCTACTTGCATCATCTCCCGCGCGAGCAGTCGCACACCTGCGAGCGACGTCACCACACACGACCTGATTGGGCAATCACAGGTACCGTCACGCTTCGGAGCCACATGGCCGTGGAATCAAGCTACATTGAATTCCACTATCGCCCCACGCGTGCCGCTGCGTCTACCTCCTCCCGGCGGCGGAATTCTCCCTATCCTTGCGCGCGATGCCACTAGTCGCGGCAGCAGTCGCGGCCGCAGCAGCCACCTTGTGCTGGTGCTTCCTCCTCGCCTGGGCACCCTCCTCCTCCGCGCGCCAGTGCAACTCATCATCTTCGAGCTCCGACAGCCGTGCGAGCTCGTCCAGCGTGGCCTCGCTAATCACCGAGCCCTCTGCCTCTACCTCGTCACCCTTCTCCGCGTCAAGAGGGAGCGTGATGTCGGTGCCGAGCTGGGCGGCGCGGCGGAGGTACTCCTGCACCAGCGCATGCGTGTCCGTCGGTTGGTGGTGCGCGTCGAACGCAGCATGTCCCACAGACCATGGCGAGCTGGCTGACGAGCACTGCATGCTCACGCTGCTGTCGAACTGCGCCGACGACGAGGCACGGCTCGAGTTCGACAGCCTTCGCCCTCCCGGCCCCGCTTGCTGCACCGACAGCGTGGCCATGCGCGACTCGAGCTCGGCCGGCAGCACTGCATGGTCGAACGACACCGACGTAGGAGTAGCAGACGCGGGCGCCAAACCCGTCGACGAACCCGCACCCACGTGGCCAGCAGGCGGGGGGCGATGTCCGTTCGCCAACGCCGCGGCGCGCGGGAGCGACTTGGACCGATTGAGCGTCTCGCTGAACGAGCGCGACGTCTTGCCGCGCGGCGTGCTGCCGAGGTCGTCGCGCGTCGATGCAGGCGCTGGCGCACCGAAGCTGATCTCGGCGCCGTACGCGAACGCCTCCTGCGCACCAATCCCATTCGCCGACGCATAGCCCGTGGGCACGGCGTGCTTGAACGACGGCGACGTGCGCGCCGAAGCATGGCCGATGCTCGCGCGCGTAAAATCAAGCGGCGCATACGCACCCGAGTCGCTCTGCGCCGAGCTAAACGCCGCGGCTCCCTCCGCATTCGTGGTGCCCGCGCCAAACCGCGGAGGCTGCGGCTTGGGGCTCAGCCCGTGCGTGCGCGAGAGCGGCGCGAGCATCGCGGCCGTGGGCGGGTAGGCGACGCCCTGGCTCAGCCCGCGCGCCATCTGCTCAAACGCAAAGCTGCCGCCGTACCCACTCATGTTGGGTGCGTCGTAGCGTCGATGCGAGCCGTACGTGTCGCGATAGTGGCGCCCACCGTTCGCATGCGATCCATAAAAGCCGGCGCCATTCGCGCCGCCCACGCCAAGGTGCGCGTTGTACGGGTAGCGCTGCATCGACCCCGGCCCATCGGGCGCGCGGCTGAGGCTGTCCTCGCGCTCCTCGCACAGCTCGGCGATGAGCACCGAGATCTTCTGCCCGCGCATGTTGGTGAGGAAGCGGCTGGCGCGCATGAACTCGCCGCGGATCGTGTAGAGGCCGTCCTTGGTGACGGTGCGCGAGACATTGTAGCCGGCCTGGAAGGGATCCTCGATGCACAGCTCGGCGTTCCAAGTCTTGCCGTCCTTGGGGATGAGGCCGTTCTCGGACTTGAGGCTGATGACGTCGCGTGCATAGCTGAACTCCTTGGAAAAGTAGCGGAAGAAGTCGACGAGGAGCTCGCCGACGTTGTCGGTGTTGTGGGAGCTCCACTCCTTGCGCAGCGTGGCGACGTCGTCGTAAAAGTAGATGTTGTTGCCGTTGAGCTCCATCTCGTCGGGCTTCATGGGGCGCGTGGGCGGCACGCGCTGCAGGTTGGGCAGCACCGCGGGCTTCTTGACGTGCGTGAGAAAGTAGAGCACGAGGAGCGTGTAGCCGTACGAGGAGAGCGTGCCCATGTAGGGCGAGTTGAGCTTCCTGCGCTTTGTCCACACCTTGAGGAAGAGGACGAGCGTGCGCAGGCGCGTCGGGTCCACCATGGCGTAGCTGAGCAGCAGACGCGTATTCTCGAGCGCCAGACGGTTCTCGAAGCCAATGTCGCAGGCGATCTCGTACGGCAGATCGGTGGTGGGGGAGCGGTTGATCTTGATGATGGGGATGCGCGCCTTGGGCAAGGGCATGACGGTGAAGTCGGTCTCTTCACGGATGAGCTGGCCGAGGATCTCGACGAGCTCGGAGGCGGTATGCTGGGTGGTGGGCTGACCATCGGGACCTTTGCCGATCAAGCAGCAGAGGTCCATGTCGGAGTTGCGGAGCGCAAAGCCGTTTGCCATGCTGCCGAAGGCGAGGAGCTTGGAGCCGGGGCTGACGCGGTTGGCGAGCCTCTCGAGCTGGCGGCGGGTGGCTTCCTTGATCCTATACTCCTCTTCGGTGGGGAGGATGGGGGAGAGGAAGGCGACGATGCAGTTGGTGAGCTCGGTGGTGTGGCGCTCCCACTGGGGGCCCGACTGAGCCTGGTTGTAGCCCGGACTTGTGGCTGGCATGGTGGAGTGGCCGTTGGCGTTGGCGCCGCCGCCGTAGACGGAGCTGGGAGCCGAGGGCGGAGCCATGATGCTGGAGCCCATACCTTGCAGGTTGGGAATGGCAGCGTGGGCGTGGTGTGGGAAGGCACGCATCTGCGGACTGGTGCGCATGCTTCGGGAGCCGTGGTAGCCGACGTTGGAGCCGTTGGCCGTGTAGCCGGACGAATGTGGCGAGGCGGCGTTGGCGGCGGTCTGGGAACGGATGCGACCGTTTGGCGAAGCCGAGGGGGTCGAGTGCGAGGTGGAGGTGGCGGTGTACATAGCTGGCAGCGGTGCTGAGCGACTGGGCGAAGTGAGGAGCGGGGCAGCGTTGGCAGCCATCTGTGGGGGGAGGTAGCCGTTTGCAGGCGAGTCGACGTGGGAAGGGGAGGCGGACTGGGCGGCCGACTGGGTGGCGTAGACCTGTGCCGGCATCGCAGGCAGATTGGCGGGGTCGGCTCTGAAGGCATGGATGGGATGGTTGGCAAGCGTGTCGTCGAGGGCAACCGCGTTGTGAGCGCTTGATGGTGGTGGTGCTGAGGAAGAGGAAGCCGAGCTAGACACGGGTGCACTGGAGGGCAGACGCTGGTCGGTGATGGAAGCGTTCGCTGCGGCGTTGGAGCGATCGGACGATGCAGCGGCCGAGAGTGTTGCCTTCAACTTGGCCGAGGCCTCGGATCTGGCGGCGCTAGGCCTACGCGCAGAGTTGTTGGAGGTGCTGGAATGGGAAGAGCTTGCCGAGACGGAGCGACGAGGCGAAGCTGCCGCAGCGTCTGGTTGGAGACGGGCAGGCGAAGGTGCTCGAGCCGAGACGCTGGCGTTGGACGAGAGGCCATTCTGAGCGACGGCGTCTGCTGGACGAGCAGTTGTGACCGTCGTGGAAGGCACCGGCATGATTGCGAGGTTCTTCGTGAAGCTTGAGCTTTGTATAGCGCGATCTTACGCCAGAGGGGATCCGAGCGACTTGGTGCGCATGAAGCGATGCTGAACGAGCGAGCGTTTGGCAGCAGCGAGGCTTGGTAAACAATGTTGTTGGGCGGAGACGAGAGAGAGAGAGAGAGAGAATGAGATCCTTGAAGCGCGATGCGATGGAGATGCGATGGGAGCCAAGAATGCAGAGAGAATAAAGATGCAGGAGAGGAGGCGAGTGTGCCCGACGAATGCCGGATCAGAATGCTTTTTTCTGTTTGGTTTTTCGATACGAAGATTTGCGATCGTCCTGGCCACGAGGGACGAGAAGAAGCCCGAGCCAAAGGAAAGCGATACGGTGGACGAGTCGACCGGCGACTATGCGAAGCTTGGACGCGGTGTGGCTGTTCACTGTTGCAAAGAGGTTGGCCTGGGAGGGTCGTTGTGTGCTAGAAGCGTGTTTGATGGCTCCGAGAGAGGGTGGCGCAAAAGAGGCGGTGGCGTCTCGAGTGTGGTGTTGAGCTGTGGTGAGGATAGGGGTGTGGTTGAAGGTAGCAGGGGTGAAGGGACGAGAAAGAGTTGGTGGCGCCCGGGGAAGGGGGGGGGG